CATGAGTGGCAGGGGGCTGAATTTTACGGAGACTTGCCACGGTCTCCAACCCTCCTCCTTTCTCATCCGGCCTTGGGACCGGCCGTGGCGGAGTTGAAATTATTGAAAATGAACAGAAATTTCCTATATTTCCGGCATGACATTTTTGATTGTTGAATGGCGATGAAACTGCTGTTGAGTCATCTAAGGAGAAAATTTCGCTTGCAAAAGGTCAAAACAGTGTGAAATAAGTTTGTGCGCACTTTTCTTTTAGTACTAATCTCTTTGAAAATATTTTTCTGCAATTAAATGGTATCGAAAATTTGATTTTTAATGGTGCCACTAAAAATGATAACTGAAAATAACGGACTTTTCTCATCAGAAAATAATATTTTTTTAATGATTATTTGCATTTGTATGGCTGTTTTTAAATAAAACGGGTATATAATTTTATTCTTTAGTATAGAAATTAATTTAGTTAATGTAGTCCGAAGAGTTTCGTTATTCCTCGGATAGTGAGGAATAATTATTCTTCAATAGCTGAAGCTATCTCCTCTGGCAGGCCCACTTTTCTAATGCTGGAAAGATTTCAGGCGAGAGGAAGACTAAGTGAAATCATTCATTTCTTCATTATGTTGTATCACAACAAAAATATTCCTATACCGAATCGGTCGAACCAGGCTACGAGGGTCCGCAGAGGCAGCTGGGAAATTGAAGTATCGGCAATAAGAATACGAACAGAACCTGTTTTACGTCTTTATGTGTCAATGGCGCAGGCACGCAAGCACTGTTCGAAGGAAAAAATAAAGTAATGAAATGCTGTTACAATACTGTAAATCAGAGAAATATTTATCGAATTAGAATATTCGAAGAATGGAAGAAAATCTACACATCGGTGATACAAGGGAGCAATGTCGAGAGGACCATAAGCAGTCATTGAGAAGAACATGCTGATAACAGAATTGGAGCTGGATGACATTAGGGGAGCGTTTCGAGTGGCACCACTGCCCAAAAAGATTAACCAACTTAATATAATGACAAATCATTGCTTTATGGGATAAAAAATCAAAATGGCTAAAGTAACAGAAGCGATATGCCCGAATGATAAAGGAGTCGCTTCGGCAGGTGATTCTTCAGGAGCCTGAACGACTTGAAGAACCTCTGAGACGCATCCCTCATATAAAAGGCAAAAAGAGCTGTGTGAATATATATCACTAAAGCTAATAATACTCCAATGTGGTATCTATCAGTATGTTGGAATCCATCAATAGTGTGATATATGCGATAATAACAAAGTGCACAATAAAGAAGCTAACTGGGTAAAGAAAGTACAAAATAAAGCAAACTGAATCTCAGAATAAAAAGAGGCCACAATCATCGAAAAGAATGAACGCGAAGCGTTTAGAAGGATGAAAAACTATGCAGCACCAGGCCCGGATCAGGCTCGTGTATTGTGGCTTCAAACTAACGTGTCTGTACTTATGAATATGAGTATTCTCGAAGAAAGTGCTTGAAGAAGCACCATCTTCTTGGTTAACGGAAGAAGTGGCCCACTTAGTCTTAAAGAACAAGGACTGGGGTTACGAAGATGTGATTAAGAACAAACTGGCGACATACCTTCTAAAAATCTAGAAATTACTGACGCCTGTGTTAGCCTTTGAAGTTTACGAGCATCACGAAGTGAATAGCGTCATATTTCCTGAGCAAAAAGGGTGAAGAACGAATCTTTGGGACCCAAGGACCAGCTAATCACAGACAAGAAGCTACAACGGGATGCAAAATTAGAAACATCAACATGTCCATAGTCTGGCTGACTTTGGAAAAGCATCTGATCTAGTACTACATGGCCGTAACCGGGAATATCTAAAAATTTACAGCTTAAACGATGACCTGGAAAAGTTCTTCGATACAGAGATGAAAAACTTATCGAACAACACTGCTGTTAGAAGAAAATCTCGGTGAGATAGGTAAAGAGCAAGTGAGGAATCATAGAAGATACAATCCGGGAGCTTCAATTTTGTATGGCACTGAATCCGCTCAGTTGCTATAAATAGTGAACAACAAGATGAAATGCACAGTTTATTAATAGAAAACTTAATTTAAATGTAACACAGTTATGCCTTTTTCGCGCATCCACTGCAGGTAGTAAAATGCCCTGGAGTCCCGGCCTGCCTAAACGGTACTTTAAGCTACTAAAGGCATGGGGGCGATGGGACTATGCCGCGCGAATTCGGAGAAGTAACAAGAGTTTTGTTTTGTCGGCGATATTGAAAACTAACAGTTTGTTATGAACGCAATAATACCGGATCTGTTGGTTTATTTTTAAGGATCATTATATAATTCAGTTAATAAGCAAACTGTGCAGCGGTGTGATGGTCTACGTTAAGACTGCTTAAGCTGAAGAATACGGTACCCACCTGAATTGTCGTTACAACTATTGTCAACTGACAGATTTGTTTGGCTTACATTGAAGAAGACTACTTGTGGCCTGAGTTACTGTGTGGTCGCAACTTCGGAGTCAAAATAAAAGGTGTTTAGCAAATCAACTTTAAGCATATGGCCCCAACCACTGAATCATAACTAAAAACTTATCATAAATGCAATTAACAAGTAACAAATTCTTCGACAACAATAGACGGCCGGCAGGTCCACTACAAAATTGGTAAAACCCTAAAAATGCTTCTGTTTAAAAAGCACGTTCCAAAAAATCAGAAGAAGTGCTAATTTCGTTTAAAAAGTCGAGCTCCAATACGGCGCGACACTAATCTGCGGGTCTCTCAAAAATACTGCCTTCTTGTCAAAATCAATGATTATACTGATATTTGGCAATGAACCTCGATTACGCAATGAACATTCCTCTTCCATATTGAAAACGTAAAGGCTTCTGTGCGATCACATATTTTATGCAAACTTCTCAATTCTGTATCCATCAGTGATCTAGACTTAATTTTGAAACATTTATTTAAATTTATAAAAAGGGGTAGGAGTTTGCAACCGTCGGATAGTCAGTGATGTTCGTTATTTCTTCCATTTACATGATGGGGAACAGATCCACTGTCATTCCATTCAAACAGCTAGAAGTGCTCCATTTTTAAATCAGAGTGAATAGCATCCATGTAGCAACAATGTGTAGTTTCCTGCTTCCTTCCTACAAAGTGGAGCTCATATACCAACCTTGAAAGGAGGAAAAGCGAGTAACCACACCGAGGCTTGAACCCGGGGCACCTCGGTTCCGAGCAAACCCAGCTATTTCAATATATGCCATCGGCTATTCTGTCATTAATGCCTACGTTGTTGTTTTCGGTTTGGACGAGGTGGTTTGTTTTGTCAGCCTCACTGGTGAAGCCCTGATGACGAAACGATGTGGCGGTAAACCCCGTTGGCCACAGAGTGTTAATTTTACCAATTTTGCCTGGTGTCTCTGCCACGAATCAAATCTTAGGTAATTAGTTAAACGCGATTTAAATGAGCTATTAGTTAATTAAAATTATTGAGTATTTATTATGGTAAAAGAGAATACAATATGATTTAATGATCATCAACACCAAGTACAGACAAAACATACATACCCTGAGTGACGATTTTCTTCTG